ATATATATATATATATATATATATACTTTATTTTTTTACATTTACTTCTGTAATTAACCTAATTGGCCAAGTTGCAAAGGCTTACCCCCCAGTAACTGTGAGCAATTTTTATTATTTCTCATCAGCAAAATGAATGTTGTCAGGCTGCACATTTGTCAAGTTAATGAAAGTCGCTCTCCACATTATGATTTTTCAGCTCCGCTGCACAAGGTAGAGGCTGTTTCTCTGTGACAATTAAAGGGCACCAACACTGAATCAAAGCCTTTATTATGTCCTTCAGACATTCTGTCTGTTTGGAAAATTAATGGCACTGTTAGTCCTGCAGTAATAACCACTGTTAGCAGCTCTCTTTCAGATGTTAATTTATCCTTTGTTTTGTAGACTTTCAGCAGATTCCATTTAAATGTGATGTTTACTGTTCAAACACTTTCCCCCAATTTTCGATTGACTATTTTTTATGTTGGAATGGGTCCTCTTTCCAGCATTTTCACAATGATTCCATTCCATTTAGAGTTCACACAAGAGTGTGTGTTCCCCTTTGTGACAAATCTTTCTGGGGATCGAGATGGTGTAGAGGTAGGGCAGCCAACCTGGGACCAGAAAGTCGAAGGATCAACTCCCCAGTCATGCCCACATGTCATTGTGTGAACAAAGCATCCAATCCCGCTCCCCGGGTGCCCACGTAGCTGCCCACCACCTCACCTGGGTGCATGAGTTAAATGCAGAGAACTAATTTTGTCATTGTATGGGAACATACAATGATGACAACACATAGCACTTTACTTTTAGTGACTAAAATAAAATATGCATATTTGTTTTGATAGTAGCTGGAAGGCTGTTGGTTGAGAAATTTTCATCTAAAGTTGTTTTCTTAGTTTTTAATTGACAGACGTAAATACGTTTTCAAGAGTGTCAGAGTACAATTAAACTTTTCGCATGTAAATACATTTTAAAGGCTTTTAATCTACTGCAGATAGTATTGCTAAACAATATAGACTGGTTGATTTTTTTAGTAGATTTTTTAAAATTTAAATAACTGTAATATAAATAACAGTGTTCCAAAGAAGATTGAGGCTGCATGCATTTGTTTAAAACAGATAGTAAACGTGTAATTTCTAGAATTAAGTAAAAGTACAAATGAAATGCCACATAAACGGAATAATAACAATACCTAAAGAATCTTAACTTGAATTTCATTCAAATCTTTTTTTCTTCTTCTCTCAAGCTCTCCTTACAGTACTCCTCTCTATTGGTTTCTTTAAAAATATATTTTAAAATAGCAAAACTTTAATACTTTTGAAGCTTCATTTTTCCAATCACCTGAACATTGATACTTAATTTGGCAATACCAAAATTGTTTAGCACATACATTATTGGGGGGCCGGCGAATTAAGGAATGTTGCTTGTTAGATTGGCAAAAAACCTATATTTCAAATTTGATTTTATCAATAGGCCTACTGTTTTTCCTTTACATGATGGAAAAACTTTTTTTGTTTTGTTAATAATATAATAATAACTCCATTAGCTTTTCACGTTGTAAATCATCCATAGTATATTACCAAGGACTTAAAAAAAATTCCAATCTTTATTTATACAAAATATCTATCAGAAACATTTATTAAAACCAACACGACGAACAAATGATCACGGGGCTACGTAATATTTCAGCTTCCGCTAATTTGTACGTCATCATTGTGCGACGCTTCGAAGAAAAAAAACGGCTATCGGCAACCGTTTTGATTAGTAACGTGTTGGCTATTTACAAGCTGAGAAGGCTCAAATTCGAGTTGTACATTTCTTTATCAAGAAGTCGCCAGTGAACAGCTGTGTTTTTTTTGTGGACACCTATTTTAAAAGTCGAATTTCGGCTCACATTCTTCTAGTCTCCCCGGTGTTGTAAAGTGCTTTAGCCAAAATCTGTAACCGCCGGTTTGCGTTGACCGTTTGGATTCGGTGCTAGTTGTGACGGCGGAATGAGCTATGGGTACGGAGGTGGAGGTGGAGGAAGAGGCAGAAGAGGAGGTCGCGGACATAGGGATGGCAGCAGAGAGAGAATGGACAGAGATGCTGGAGTAGGTGGAGGTTCGAGAGGACACAGTAGCTCCAGCTTCGACCAGGACCGAGGAGGAGGAGGAGGTCAGAAAGACCGACCTCCTCCACATCTGAGGGGCAGGGAGATCGGTCTGTGGTACGCCCGGTACGGAGCCGTGAGGAGGAAACAAGCTGACCGGAGATCGGTATGAGAAAGGTTTTGTTGGCTTCTGGTATTTCTGTATAACTGCAACCGGTCATTTTGCAACGCATAGATTTGAAAGATGCTAACGTCGCAATTATTTTAATTTCTGACTTCTTAGGGAAATATAGTGCTATGCTCTTTAATATTTTGTTGGAATGTACTATGTGATAAATGTTTTGCACACTTGTAAGTACAAGGTTTTAAAAATGGCATGGTAAGTCAGAAGATATAATACACACAATAGATTTAATTTAAACTCATCAATCATAAGATTATGACAGAGCAAACGGCTCTGAACAGCCAAATTTATCCACATTGTATTGAAACGTAACAAGCAGTGTTTTCAGCAGTCATTATATTTTATGTGATCATGAAAGTGGTCAGTACAGATCAGTGATCATTACCGGATTAATGTATACAGTGTTTTAAAGACAGTATTGTCTATGTAGATTCATCTAAGCTGAACTGCAAGGTTTAGCAACTATAAAGTAATCTTTAAGATTTGTCTTATTTGTGTGTATGTACAGCGAGCTGTGGTCCACATGGATGAGGCCAGGGAGGAGCACATTACCAAGCTGCTTAACTCTGTCCAAAATGACCAGTCTGGCCCAAGGCGAGACAGAAGGAATGCATCTGACAACTGGCAGACAGCTGCCAATCACAGTGGACACTGGTGAGGAAAATGTGCATTAGTAGAGTCCACTTTAGTGTGTAAAGCTTACAATAAAGAAAACAGAATTCTACATGGAAAGAAAGTTCTTTGTTCTGACTGCTGCTAGTGGGACTCATTATTTGTGACCCTCAGTTACTTTGATGGGGATTTGCCTGAAGAAGAGAAACACAAGGCTGAGGTTGAATCTGAGGAAGAGGAAGAAGACGTTACTACCCCAGGCCAGAAGAAAACCAGTCACAGATCGCAACGGTAATTATGTGTGAGGTTGATAAAAGATGACTCTTGAAGAATATAGTTCAGTAGTTGTCAGCATGTTGTGACTGTGTGCACAGCAAAACTTGAGTATTACTGTAATCTGATCAAGATCTTTCTTCAAATCCAACACACAATGTGTCATTCCTCAGGCTTTACAGTACCTATAAAAATTATTCACCCTCTTGGATGCTTTATTCTTTTGTTGCGGTCAAAAATCAACCATGGTCATAAAATTACATAATTTTAAATAAGTGATTGCATAAATTTATATGAGTATACCCCTCACACACACACACACACACACACACACACCAAAAGTGACTAATTAAACTCAGACAAAAGATTGTTGAAATGTACATCTTGGGAGATAGATACAAAAGGATTTTGAAGGTCCTAAACATCCTCAGGATTTCTGTTCTATCCCTCATAGAGAAACGGAAGGAATATGGGACATGCGTAAATCTACCAAGTCAACAAGTTAAATATATTTATAAAAGCACATTTAAACCAGCAACTATTACCAAACGGTTTAGCAATAAGATCAAGGCATTAATTAAAGTATAATAATGATAACAAGATGTAATTAAAAGCATCAAAATAAAAACATAAAAACACAAAACAATGAGATACTAAATCAAATGACTCTGTGTTAAACGTCAGTGAAAACAGGTGTGTTTTCAGGACAGATTTAAAAGCAGGGAGTGAAGTGTCCTGTCTAATGTTGGAGGGCAGATTGTTCCATAGTTTAGAGCCAATGCCTGAAAAAGTCTGGTCTCTGAGCTTCAGCCTGGTTTTTGGTTCAACCAAAAGCAGCTGGTCAGATGATCTCAGTGCCCGAGAAGGAACATATGGTTGAAGTACTTATTGGTTACCAAGTGCAGGCCGTCCTCAAAAACTGAATGACAGTGCAAGCAGGAGAATAGTGGGAGGCTACTAAAACACGCAGGAGCGCTATGGAGTTATAAACGCCAGTAGGTGAGATGGGAGAGACTGTACATACAGCCACTGTTGCCCAGGTTCTTCACCAGTCTAAGTTTGAGGCGAGAGTGGCAAAGAGAAAGCAGAAAGTTGAAGAAAACGTGTATTAAATCTCAACTACGGTTTGTCTAGATTGTTAAGAGACTAGTCTCTAAACAATCTAGACTAATGTATTCTGTAAACAAACAGTCTAGTTGTAAAGAAGACCAGTTTATATTGACAATGATTAATTCATGACAGCAATACAAGCATAACACATTCAAGGGGGAATACTGTTTACAGGCACTGTGGTGTATAAATAAAAATATGATGCTATTTATGTAAGCACTATAATTAGAATGTAATTCTATTTATAATATGAGAATAGTTGGGATGTTGCTGTGAATGTAAACTGTAGTCACTTGTCAGGGTCTTGACATATTGTTTGTTTGTTTAGTGGCGTATCTAAAGCAGCGGTTAAAGACGAGCCTCCAGACAACTGGGATGAAGAAGATCAAGAGGAAAAGAAAGAGGAGAAACCCCTGAGGAAAGACAAGGACCTGGAGTTCTTGTTTCAGGAAGTAGTCAGAGACCGTTCAATGGATGAGGACTTAAAACGAGATCTGCACAGCAAGGCTTCTGATCCAAAATACAAAGAAATGCTGGTAAGTGTTTTTATATGATTTCTTATTTAGTTCTAAAAGTGAAAGCTTCTTGCAGTTATCAGGTCTTCAGTCTTCTAAAGTAAGGCGTTTTGTTGATCATAACGGTTCATGTGACACATTAACAGATGTTCTAGTTATCCAGTGTCATTTGCTAATGTTTTTTAAACATATTGCAACAAAAGAATAACAATGAAAATTTAATGTGGAGCTTCTATGTCTTGATTGTTCAGAGAAGTTCGCTAAGTTAAAATAATTTAATGATTCTGGGTTTTACAGCGTAACAAATGTTTATGAATAAATCTAAATTGACAAATCCAAAACACAGACCCGTACATCACATCTTCTTCTAAACAAAGTGGAATTCTTGGGTTTTCTTTTTGTAATGGTAAATGGACTGCACTTATATAGCACTTTTCTGTCTTATCAAGATACTCAAAGCGCTTTACACTACAATCTGTGCCCTCATTCACCCATTCATACAGCACTCTACTAGATCTGTACAAAGACTAATCAGTGCTTTATCACATTCATACACCAAGGGACACACATCAGAGGCAATGAGGGGTTCAGTGTCTTGCCCAGGGACACTTCAGCACGTGACTGCTGGTGGAATCGAACCCCCAACTCTTGCATTGGAGGACGACTGCTCTAATCACTCATCCACAGCTGCCACATTTGTTTTGATTAATAAAATAGATGGGTTTTTGTACTGAAAAGTAACAATAAAATAAATAAAAAATAGGCTATATAATAATCATGTATTATTTTACCAACATTTATATTATTGTTTTTTTTATATATATATATATATATATA